TCCCAATGGTGTTGTGTCCCCTTGCTGCAGGACAGGACCTTAAAGCTCACCCAGTTCCAGCCTGTGCCACAGGCAGGGACACCTTCCACTAGAGCAGCTTGCTCCAAGCCCCTGTGTCCAACCTGGCCTTGAGCACTGCCAGGGATGGGGCAGCCACAGCTTCTCTGGGCACCCTGTGCCAGTGCCTCAGCACCCTCACAGGGAAGAGCTTCTGCCTAAGAGCTCAGCTCAGTCTCCCCTCTGGCAGGTTAAAGTCATTCCCCTTGGCCTGGCCCTACAGGCCCTTGTCCCAAGCCCCTCTCCAGGTTTCCTGCAGCCCCTTTAGGCACTGGAGCTGCTCTAAGGTCTCCTTGGATCCTTCTCTTCTCCAGGCTGAACAATCCCATCTCTCAGCCTGGCTCCATAGGAGACACAGGGATAAAACTCCTGACCCCAGATCTCATACCCAAGTGCAGACAGCGAGAGCCATAATCCCCCAGGGGCTGACAGTGGGGTTTATAAAGCCCCGTGTCTTCCTTTGGCCATCACTGGCGGGTGGGAGGACGTTAACAGAGCTCCTGTGTGGATGCCTGGAATGGGAATGGTGCCTGGGGAGGCATTTGGTCCTCGTTAGCAGGCACTCGGTAGCTGTTTTGTCATTTTTCTTGTTTGTCATAAAAAATAAATACAGTTTAATAGATGATCTTACAGAGCAGGTTTTGGCAACAAAATAGACCGTGTCCCATTAGAAACTTGATGTGTATAATTTAAAGCAAGATGGAATATAAAACCATTTCCAGCTCAGATGAGGGAGAGGGAGACACAGATTTAGGTCTTGATTGTGCTGAAATGAAAACCAGCACATTCTCGGGTAGTGTATAAAATCAGGCATTCTGCTTTTTTATGGAGTCCAAACTATAAACAGCCTTTTCCAGAATAATTAATCACACCATTTATTTTTTGGGGGGGTCAAAAAGTTTGGGGAGTGGATTTCTTTTGTTTCTTTGTGTATTTTTACAGCTATCGTATGCAAAGGAGCAATCCTAAACACCACAGAAGATTATTTGGAGAGCAGGGAAGACTTTCAAGGTCGTCCCTCTCAAAATCCCATCCATTAGCAGAAGTTTAAGGAATGTGCTGAGGTGCCTCAGGCATTATGGGGAAAGCTGGGCTCTGGAGCCAAAGGCTGGGATGTGTTACGGCAGTGGGAAGGTGAATGGAAGAGTCAGCAATGCTGCTTGTGATGTGCTTTCACAGACCAGCATTAGGAGTGGGGACTGTGGGGCTGGAGGGATGTCTACCCCATCCATGAGGATGCTGCTTCCCTGTGGTGTGCTCACCTTCCATCCAGTTAGGAAAAACCTGCCCATTGCTCCTGCTGGAACTGGGCAGTTGATCCTTGCCGAGGTTAGAAATGGGGTAGGTCTCTGCTATCTGCACTATCTCCATTGTCCCACATAGCTGCAAGCAGAGGACCTGGTGCCCCACCACTGTAAATCACAGCTCTACTTGAGCTGGAAGAGGGATGCGTATTCCTGCCAAGGAAGGAGAGAGTTCCAGAGTGCATTTCCTCCATCCTCCCTCTCCTCTGGTTTGGGAGCAGTGGGGCTGGCTTGCCTCTGTCTGCTTTGGCTCTTCAGTTCTGATTTGAGCAGAGCCCAGTGTAAATCCAAAACAGTTCTAGGGAAGTCAGTCAAGTTCCCGGAGACTCAGGGCTGGAGGAGATAGGAAACTATTCACAGCTTGTATGTAGCTGTTGACATCATATATAAAAGGCTGGCAGAATGCAGCAGTGATGTGCTATAGGCAGGGTGCTAATCTCTCTTGTTATTAAGTTTCCTGACATTTCCCATTATCAGAGCTTCTTTACAGTTGTTCACGGGGCTGCAAAACTTTAATCTTTGAGGTTGAAATGCGTCACCCACGTGCCCTCCACTGCACAGGTAGTGCCAGCGGGTGAAATTCTGCTTTTCCTTGGATTTGTTGTGATCCTGGAAGTTGCAGAACCCCCAGCTCTGTTAAAAATAGCAATCAATAAAGCTGCGAAGTCTTACACCCTGGAGGAGTTCAAGCCAGCATTCCTCCTGCCTGAGCAGCCCTCTCTTGGGCCATGCTGCACATACAGGTATGGGGTTTAATACCTGATTACATGCTGCTTTCCTTATAGGACCCCACCACCCCTGTCAGTCAGCAGGAGATGCACTGAGATATACAAGGGTGAAGGCAGGGCTAAGATGCCATGGGAGGGGCAGGGCCTCATCCCATAGAGCCAGCAGCATCTTCTCTTAACCAGTCTATATGGACTTATCTGCTCACCCCTGGCAATAAGCAACCCACCAAGTCCCATAGGAGACCTCCCCTGCTTCTGTAGCGAGAGGCTGTACACTAATGTGCATGTACAATAAGGTAAACCAACCTTTTACTGAGCTGGAAAGAGGCATGTTTTACTGGAAAACCAAACCAGTTTGCTTTGGCTGTGCTGCCACCCATCCCCATGGTAGCTGGTTGGGGATACTCAGTGCTGGAGGTGTTGTGGCAATGTGCTGGAGTTGGAACCAATTGGTTTCATGCCAAGATAATTCACTGAGGGTTGTTTGGCTGCTTTTTTTTTTCCCCTCTGCAAGATGAGACATGATTTCAGTGGGGTGCAGGAGGATGGAGCCAGGGAAGAGGAAATAACTTGCTTTAGAAGAAAAAAACTAAACTAAAAATGGCTTTTCCTGTGCAAAATAAATTCTATGACACATTTTTTTCTGCCAGCCCCACGAGTGCAGGAGCAGCCCACATTCCTGTAGGAAAGAGGTATAAATCCTAGCCCCGAGTCTGAGGCTGGCAATGGGCCTTCCTTGCTTGGGACCCTGTGGACCAAGGTCCTCCCTGTGTGGTGGCAGGGAAGGAGACCATCTCAGTGGGATCAGAGCACAAAGCCATGGTCTTCTCAAAGCTGTATTAGGAATGCAAATCCTGCAGTGAATCATCCAGGCTTAGGGCTGTACTTTGGCTATCAGATGACTGATAGAAAAGTGTGAATAGGCAGCTGGGTTAGTGATGGGATTAGAAAACAAATCTCATTTGGAGCTAAATTGCTCCTAAATAGTCTGGTTTGGGCTTCCACATGATGTTGTGTTGGATCTGCTCAAGACTGGCCACCTCCTGTCACCAAAGATGCGTGTGGAGTTGCAGGACAGGGATTATGGGGAAAGGTGACCTTGAGTTTCAGATGCAAGGCTTGAATCCAGTTCCCTGCTCTAGGCTACAGTTTCTCATGCCCCTGCGTTGGTGTTCTTGGATCCACCATGGTGTCCAGGGTCAGACCTCTCTGCATCCTCCCTGTTTTATTAATAAGCCAAAAGAGGGCTGCAGGCTCAGGATGCTGTTGCAGCGGATGGATGGGGTCAGGGTGGGTGTGCATGCTGTGAGCCTCTGTGAGCTCTGTTTGTCATCCCCAAGCCCAAAGAGGAAAACCCATAGTTTACAGGACAGAGAGAAAAGGTTTCACTGCTCGCTGGTTTGCTTGAAGCAAATGGATTAATAACACTTGATATGTAACTAAATAAAATCATCCTGACCCCAGTTTGCTGGCTCTCCAGGATATGTTTTGTGGGTGAAAAGGTGGCTTTCCTCCTTGGAAATGGCACTGTTTTCCCTGGTTTTGGGGTATTAAGGGAAAAAAATCTCAGGCCAGATTGGACAGAGCCTTGGGTGACATGGTCTAGTGTGAAGCATCCCTGCCCAAGGCAGGGGGTTGGAACTGGATGATCTTAAGGTTCTTTCAAGCCCGAACAATTCTGTGATTCTGTGATGTCCTCCAGCTTCAGTAGAGAGAAGGACCTACAAGTTTCTTGTGCGACTGCTCCCATGGAGCTGTGGGAGGAGGATGGTTTACCATCAGGTGAGATCTGACGTTGATAAATGTGGCTGTCTATCGGTGGATCTAGAAACCTTCCTGATGTGATGGAGCCTCCAACCTCCACCTCCCTGGCTCAGCTGTGTCCCTGTCCTTCCCACCTTGCCAGTGCCACGGTAAGGGGGGTCAGCAGGGAGCTGAGCCCTCCTTGGTGATGGAGACCTCGTGTTCTCCCTTCTCACTGGGGAGCTGTGCATCTCCTGAGGAGCAGCACAGGAGCGAACAGCTGGTGGGAACCGAGTAGTTGTGCTGGAGTAGTGACAATCTCTGGTGTAGGAGCTCTGAGGAGCTCCTCTGTTACGTGCTCTGCCCCCAGAATGAGTAAATAAAAGCCTCCTCATTTATTTATGATGCAAATAGCAACTGTGCATTCAGCTCTAGGAGTTGTTGATTATTTATTTAGAGCCTCTTGTCTCAGAGGCACTGGCTGCGTGCAGGAGGCATCTGTCTGGGTTTATTACCCACAAATAGACATTTTGCTGCTTAGGTGGTGGCTGCTAATGTTTTGAAAGCCTGCTGTGGAAATGGAAATCCTTCCAGGGAGGCACAGATCCCCTGGTCCTTCCTCTTCACAGTCAATAGCAGCAGCTCACAGCCCTACCAGCCCCTCTGAAAATCCCAGCTGCCCCATATCCCGCTCCTATGGAGCTGTTGAACGCTGAGCTCCTCTGGGCATGAAGGTTTCTGCTGTGAAGTATGAAGAGTGATGGCTAAGTTCCAGTTTCTGTCGGTCCTTATCCTCAGAAAGCTAAATGGAAGATGGGTGGGAGGTGGATGTGAGAACAACGAGAAGTATTTGGCTTAATATACTAGTGATGGTTGCTTGGAACTCCCTTCCTTTTCCCCCTATCCTATAGTGGGGGACAGACTGTTGCTGTGTACCAGAAGTGTTGGATTTAGCTTCTTCCACAACCAGTCACATAAAGAAGCTTTGCTGGGTTCCCAGAGACTTGGGCAGTGAATAGGTGCTGCTTTGGGACTGTTATCCCCAGGAGCCTTTAAATGCTTCTGCTTCTTCTCAGGTTGGGGCTGGCAAAGTTTTGGCACTTGGCTTTAGGAGGCTCATGGCACTGATTCGATACATCCTTCTCAGGTCATCCGCTTGCTTTTACAGTTGATGGAGCACAAGTGTTCCCACAGAGAGCACCCCGTTAGTGATCCATGGCATGGACCTCAACTCCAAAGCTTTGGTGACTATATTCCTGGACAGTATTTTCAATGCATGCAAAGGCAAGGAGAAGAGGGGTTGTTCCAGTGGATGGATGAGCCCAGGAGGAATAGATTATGCTGAAGGAATTCTGCCCATCCCCACTGATTGCAGTTGTGGCACCACTGGGGGACTCTATGAGGAAAAGCACCAGTGGCTGGCCCTGGCCACTGCTGCTATCCCATTATCCACCAAGTTATCCTTGCTGAAATGTCTGCCTTTAAGTATCCCATATAGGAATCCCTTACTTGTAAAATGATCCACAGTTTTCGAGGCAAGAGTTGGGTTTTTTTGAGCTTTCTTTTCAGAAAGCTGTATTTACCCTTTATTTGGCTGCCTCTCTTGCAGTCTTAGGGCCGTGGGTAGGAGTTATTCTCCTGGTACCCCTACAGTGTGTTAAAATCATTTACATCCATTAAGTCTCTGAACTACGAGGTAGAATTCATTCATACTCCATAGCACAGCTGGCCAGCAGAGGATGATTAAATCCAGACTTAGATGATCAAACTTAGGCACCTAAATGGTCCAAGCTCAGATCATTGTAGGTCTTGGATCTCTTCTCTTACAGACTGAGAAAGGGTTGCTGTTAAGCCAGATAGATTTTGCTTGGCTCCATCACTCATGGCAGGATTTCCAGGGCTTTCCAGGACTTCAGCCATTCTCATGGGTCTTCTCTGAGTCCTCCTCCAGCTTTTCAGCCTACACCTCATGCTGTGGAGCTGCCTAGCACCTTCCAGGATCCAGCCTAAATTCTGGATACCTTGTGCAGGAAGCCACCCCAGTGGGTAATGGTTAGAAAACCACTGCTGGCTAGTGGCCTTTGAGAGCTGGCAAAGATGTCTTGGAGCCCCATGGCTTGGAGAAGGAATTTCAGGTTTGAAGTGGTATGGCACTCCTATAGCAAATCATCAGTGTGTGTCCTGGAGGGACAAAAGGGGCTGAATACAGATAAACAGCAGAGCAGTAAATGTGCCTGCTCTGTGTGTGTGTCCCCAGATGTGTACACATCTGGAGCGATTTTGGGAGGTACTTAAGTACCAAAGAAACCTACAGAGATGAACAAATAGGGCTTCGGTTTGTGTCGGTGTCTCACTTGAAGCACGCTATCAGCAGCACCGGCAATGTATTTGGAGTAGGATCTCCTGGCCTTGGATTGAAGCCAGAGGGAATCTCAGTGAGGGGCTGGGATGAGGAGGGGGTAACAAACTGTTTAGAGGGCCATGAATAGCAGCTTTCATCAGCTGTCATTTCCCATTACAACTGACCCAACATGGAAATGCAGTGCAGGGCTGCACTGAACCAGGAGAGGTTCCCCTGCCTTCTGAGTCCCAGCCACCTCCATCCACATCCTCTGGCTCTTTGGAGACTGAACCTTGCAGTTTGAACCTGCTACAGTGACTGCTAAAGGGCTGGCTGGACCCAGCAGCTGCAGAACACTAGGTCAGCTCTTGCTTGGTGGCATGGAGAAGGTCAGAAGTGATCAGGACCTCGCTGTGCTTGATGTGAGTTGATGTGGGTGGTGCAGACTTGGTGTTCTGCGGCACCTAAACTGAGCATGAGGATGCCAAGTGCATGAATCTTCAAACAAGACCTGATGCATAGAGAGCCTTCTGCCAAAAGGTAGCAGAGAATTTGATGTAAAAGCAGAAATATGCTTCAGTTGCCTGGGAATGCAATATCCTCCTGAGCTGGCTTGCATATCCTCTCACAGAGATCAGCTGTCCACCAAAGTACCAACACCTTCCAAACTTGGCTGCTTTTCAGTGCTTGTGGGCTGGAGGCTAAAAAGAAAAGGAGGATGATTGAATGTCTCTGCTTCCAATTGACCATGGTGCAAAGTGCTTAAATCGAAGCCTGAGGATGGAGCTACACCCTGGGTGTATGGATGGCTGCAGGACTTCTTGGTGTCATTTCTGGTTGGAGATGGGTGTGGGGGTGCTGGAGAGGAAAGAGAGCTTGGAAAAGGAGTTTCCAGCAAGGATTAGCCAAAGGAAACGAATAGGTTTTATATTGATGAATTTGAACTGGGATTACAAAGGCAGAGAGTCATTCTCATGCTCTGAAGCTCATTCATTTGCTTCATTCTGGGTTTGGGAGGTTGGTACAGGAAAGGATGGTGGCCAAGGGCTGGGCAAGGAAATCCCCAGCACCCCATCTGATAGAATTACTCCTTTTTCTGTACTGAGCATTGTGTGCGGGCAGCTCTGAACAGGCAGTATGTGGAGCATGATGGTTGGTGCTTGCCAGTGCCCAGAGACACTGTGGGTGTGCTTGGGGGAAAGAAGGCTGGGAGGAAGGATGGGGTGGAAAAGCCACATTGCTCCAAGGCCAAGCTGGGGATGGAGCAGAGGAACGTGAAGGACAAATAGCACTCCTGCAAAAGCGAGCCTTACCAAACTCGGTGTCTCCCACCTGCAGCTCCCTTGAACCTTCCCTTTCATCTCTTCAATGTGTATTTCACTTGATTAATAAAAAACATCTTTCCTTCTCTCCGCAGAGATACTGGAGCACAGCCCACGGGTTGGGAGGGAATAGTTGCAGCTTGGCTTCTCCTCTCTGACCACCAGCCAGCTCCCTATCTCAGGATGGATCCAACAGGAGCACAGGAACTCACATCCAAGAAGCCCCGGTGCTCTGCCAGGGCCACACAGGTAGCAAAGAGCTTGATAGAAAGTCAAGTGCAACATCTGGGAGTCTTTTTTTCTGTTGCCTCCCCTGTATTTCAGAGCAGTAACTCCCTGATGTGCGTGGAGAGCTCGCCAACGCTCAGAACGCTCCAGCCTCGCACACAAACACCCAAAAGCAGGTCCGTGTCTGTCTAGGAAACCTGGATCAGAGGACAACTATATTCTGAAGCAGTATGTTGCCTCTGAGGCCCTGAGGTCCTTTGTAGGAGAACAAGTAGTAGGCTGTTCTGTTCGGTTTGTTGTTCAGCTTTAGTGCTGGTGCCCCTGGGCAGAACAGGCTGGGGATGACTGATTTGGAGATCTTGTCCTTCTCTCTTCTTCTCCTTCTCCTGCATCCTCCCCTAGGAGCCTAAAACTCAGCTAGCAGATAAGAGGAAGATGAGCCAAAATACTCCTGCGAGAAGGAAACACATCCAGGCAAAAGGGAATTGGCCTCCCTTGCTGTTCATCGGTGATGCCCCACGGACTGCCGTTAATTTGCTATCCCATCTGCATCCCGGATGGTCTCAGGCAGTGGACAGCTTTGCAAGGGGTGGGAATCTTCAGGGCTGGAACAAGGAGCATCGCTGAGGGGCTGTGCAGTCTAACAGCTTGTTTGAGGTGGTTTTCCCTGGTGTTTGTTTCACTGAGGGCCTTGTAGGGACAGAGGCAAGCCAAAACCTTCCTCATAGCCAGAACTCGGGCAGGGAAGCAGGGTGCTGCTGGGAAGCAAATGGGAAAGCAGAGTCTTTGGGTTAGGAAGGAAAAAGCCAAGGCAGGCTGGAAATCAAGAGCATGTTTAGGCAACAGAGTTGGCCATCATGGTCAAGAATAGAGACATTGGGTTCCTGAGCCTATAGAACCCCATTCCCATAATGGGGCATTTAGGGCAATATATAGCAGCAAAAAAGGGATTTAGTTCCCATTTGTTCTGTGTTGGAAATCAAGTACCTTAATAGCAGCCACAAGCTTGAAGAAGGGGTTTAACTCTTATTTTTTTGACCAAAAGCTGGTTTAGTGATAGAAGAGTTGGCTGAACTTTCAAAGTCCAGACCTGCAGATATTTAATGAATGCAGTCACAAAGTGGAATTTGGTGATTGAAGCTGTTAGCAATAAATACTGCTTCAAGAAACAGTCAGATCTGATACATCTTAGGAGGAGCAGTGAAGCATCCAAAATGCACCCGAGTAAGGTTTGTTAGTGAGTATTTTATCCTCCTTTCTTCCTGAGAGATGCCTTATCCAGCCTGGGAATGGGAGTACTGCCATGAAACTTGACAGAGTAATCACTAATACCAACAAATAGCTGAAATAGGTGGTTTCTGAACAGCTGAGCTAGAAAATGATGTTCCTGTGGACCATCCAGCTGCGAGACAGGGACAGAAGTGAAAACAATTGATTTAAGAAGTTAATTGTGAGCAGAGGAGGAGGCCAGTGTCAGTGGTGCAGGGAAGACACAAGAAGCAAACAAACCCTACAGCAAAGTCGAACTTAAACATCCACAGAAGACATGCAAATGCAGACGTTTGCTCAATGAAGGGGCCTCTGGATTGTTCCTAATGAGCTCTAATGCGAAGAGGAAATTAAAGAGCTCTGTTTTGGGCTCTGTCTGTGCTGTGCTGTGTGCTGACGGGAGGAGGACTGCACCAAAGAGGAGCGTTCCTGCTCCCAGCCTGACAGATGGGACTCGTCGGGGTTTTAGTTTGTCAGAGTGTTCTTGTTTGTTAGGCAAAGCAAACAACTGATCCAACCCAACTCAAACGTGAAGCAGAGGAGGAGCCTGGGTTTACTTCTTGAGTGAGTGGTTTTAAAAGGTTTTGCTTTCTGAAAGGGGCTTCCAAGGTGGCCCCATCTGAGACCATTTCTTCTTTTGAAATAGAAACGTCCGGTTTGCTAGGCCATAATACTTTTCGGTTTGAATTGTAAGCGAAGTATAGCATGAATGGGGCTTCTTTGCCGAAGGTTTGGGAGAATTGAAACCAAATGTTTAAACACTATATGTCCCAGCCCCTTGGCTTGCCTGAGCTCCAACGGCTGTTGTTCCTTTCAGCTCTAACCGATATTGAAACTCTGATGTTTATCCCCGTATGACTTGGAAATTGTTCACAACTTTTAGGCATTTTTCAGGAGCTCCAGACCTGTTCCTCATGTATATTTACGCTGGCAGCTGCTGTCTAAAGGACAGCTTCAGCTCCTCAAAAAGCAGAAGCATATGATAATTTTCTCTTTAGGAAAGCTGGTAAAACACGGAGTGTCAAACCAGGATGAATTCTCCCACTGGGCAGTGGTTGTGTCCAGGCAGGCTCCTTTGCAGCATTTCCCTCTGGAATGCCAATGCGAAGGGTCTAATATGCACCAGGATGTCCATGCTCTCCCTGTGAGCTCCCCGGCTTTGCGGTGTGTTGTGTCTAACAGGGCTTTAGGTGGTTGAAATGTGAGATTCCAACTTCGGATGGACATTCCTGCACTGCCTGGAAAACAAGCCATGGATTCTGATTGATGGAGGAAGGATCCACACTAGGATCAGGTGCTGTGGCCAGGGTTGGGCTCTGACCGGGGACTGGTCAACCCTTCCATTAATAAGCAGGCAGTGAAAGCCCAGATGGGATCCTGATGGTGGATGTGATGGGGTGTATGTGCATTCCTACACCAGCAGCATCTTCCAGACACCTCTTACATGAGTATCTGCTTTGGACGACACAGCTTGTGCCAGCTGGGGTAACTGCAGACCAGGCAGAGCTCATGTGGCACCTCTTACTCACCAAAACATACAGGGGCAATATCCAGTTTATACAGGCAGAGCTGGCCATGCTCTGAGCCCTGAGCAACTCATGTGGGCAGCCATGCGTATAGTTTCTTCATTTAACCTGGAATCTTCTCATTGTGGAAAATGGAGGAGTTTGGGCTCAGGTCAGTACTGGGTTTGAGTTCCAGGCAACTACAGTGAGGGTTGTTCTAGATCATGGTGTACTGATATCATTGTCTATGTCTTTATAATTTGTATGGCAGGCGGTAGAGATGCATCTATAGGGTTGAATATGCCCCTGAATCTTTGGACTGTGGCTTCACTTGGAACAGCAGACCCCATCTGAGCTTAATCAGAGCCAGAAAATCACCTCTTGTTCAGAAGAGGTGATTTAAACCACCAGGAGGAGATGGCTGCTGGCAGTCCAGCAAATCCTGTGATGCTGCTGCATTGATGAAGTGCTTGGAGGGCAAAGCACACACTCTTCTGCACCCCCTGAATGTATGGGTCCCGGGAAGCTGCTGAGGCACTGGGAGAGCCCTGGATTGCTGCAGACAGGCAGCATGCAGGGAGGCAGGTAATTAGAATCATGATAGATTCATAGGATGCGTTCAGCTGCTTTCCTCTGCTCTTAAACTTGTCCTTCTCAGGAGAATTTTCTCACTCCATTGCCATTTCTTCTGTGCCCAGGTCTCCAGCAGTGAGCAGTATAGAGAATCTATTGATTCTGTTCCATAAGCCCTGTACAAGGGACAGTAAGTGCTCCCCAGCCAACACCTCTCAGTCATTTCCTTTAGATGTTGCTCACATGCCCTTAACCCCAGCTGTTGGTGAAGGAACAAAAGAAATGAGCTGGAGAAGCTGTGGCTGAGCAGGTCTAATCCTGTCTGCAACATCACCATTGCCCCAGTGTTAATGGAGGAACTCACAGAGGCCCGATGCTGGTTCATCTGGGAAGAAGGAGCCTCCGTTACCAGGACTGTTCTGGGTTTGCAGGAGAGGAAGCAGCAAAGAGGTTTGGCAAGGGAGATGTATGTGTGGTGGATAAGCTGTGTTTGAAGTCTCTCTGCTGTGCTGAGTACCTCAGGTAACACTCACACCAGTGAATTTGGCCTCCAGAAGTTACACAGTCATCTTAAGAACTATGAGATGCTGATTAACATTATTAGTCATATTTAACCGTGCTGAAATGCAGGTCCTGAGTCTTGAAGAGCTCTGCTGCCTCCCAGCAGCTTTCACCATGAGCTGGGCCGTCCATAGGGCATTTCTTGGTCATCAGATTTGGAAGATCCTAGGCCAAGTGGTGTGCTCAAGGCTCAGCACAGCGTTGGCCTTCACTAGGAACTTCACACCCATGTAGATGATGCATCCAAAGCTGCCTTCACACAGTCCTGAGCCCAAGGGCAACATTGGACCTGAATCAATGAGAGCCTTCCCTATGGAGCAATGAGCTGTGCTGCCTCCGTGCAGCGGTGTGGACAAGCATAAGATGGAGGAGGTATCATTCCAAAGCCATGGCTGGCCAATGTCTTAGGTAATAAATGCAGTGAATTGAGGAATGCAGCCTTGTTACTGCCTGGCGGAGGGGAATTCATTCTGCACATTGGCTTCTCCCGAGCTTTCCGCCCAGGCGTCGCTGACTTCTCACCACCACATCGATATTCCTGTATTTCAGCAAAATTCCCTGCTCCTAATCTGGATAGTCCTGCCTGGGTGGAGTGCAAAACCCACACTGTTAACTCCGGATAGTGGTAATTAAAAGAAAATAAAATCAAAGGTGCTCAGAAAAGAAATGGAAAATTTTTCCCTGGAAGCCAAAAGATTATATTAAACTTTGGTGGTTTAATAAAATAGATGAAGTTTGGGAGTATATTTTCCCTGGGACTTAATCTGTTTATACATCTAAAAAAGTAAATAGAATATCACTTTACTTGACCACACAGAAAACCCGATACGGGGGGTGCTGCTCCTCTGTATATATTTCTTGGTGAATTGCTTCCACCTCAGGTTTCATGCAGTGGGTCCATTCCTCTCCTACCAGGTCAAGGGAAAGCAGGAATTCATCAAACACCGTGGCAAAATGCTGTGGACGTAGCAGGGCTGAGGGGTGGCTGGTGGGGGGAGCTGTGAAGACCTGGCTTTGCAAGGCTTTTTGCAACCTAAAGAAAGGAATATGACGGTATTCCTTGCTGGAGAAACATGGAGTGGAAGGTAAGAGTTCATAGAAATGACACCAGCAATGGCACTGAGGAGTTCAGTGGGCAGAGCCCCCCCTCCATGGAATGCCTTTAGGTTTAGAAACCTAAAATCAGACACAAGTGGGTAATTCTGTGTTTTCCCCTTTCTTCATAAACCTGCCCCCTCTTTCCAGGTTGCTGCCGCCAGCAAAAAGAGAGCACAGCCTCTCAGTACCCGTAAACTTTATTAAATGTGTGCTTTTTCATTCTTCAATTAAATTAAAATCAGTCTGTTTCATACGGAAATAGCACCAAAGGGAGAAGGATGACAGTATCTCCAGGCAAAGAGGAGGGAGGAGAGAAAACCCAGAAACCGTTGTATGGGAACAAGAATTTTTTTAATGGGTAAGGAAATGGGCAATTTTAGGTGTTTTCCTTCATTTTGGAGCCCTAACCTTGTGTATTCCAGTGTGGCTGTGGGGAGAACCGAGGAGGCTCAGGATCGGTGTTAGTCAGAATCACTCAGCGCAGGGTAGGCATGGCCAAATCACTGCTGGAAATGTGACTTCTTACTGCTGCACCCCAAAGATCTCCCTGAATGCCACACAGAGGAGCCTCCATGGCACGCTGGTGTTTATATTCCTTTTAACTGTGTGAATTACTGGGTGGCAGCATTTCCTTAGGAGTCGATTCAGTTCTGTACTGCGTGAAATCAGCGCCAACTACAACGCGGACGCAGCATCTTGGCCCTTGCTCTTGCAGAAGTGGTAGCGATGCGAATCCCAGCAGCGGAGGGGCCAGGTTTTGTCCTGCCAAAACTGCTCTGGTAAAGAAAAGCCCATTTCTCTGAAACATTCCAGGTGTGGCCAGTAGAAACACAGTGCAAAGAGCCTTCCTTCAGTTCAGGTTTGGCTGGAAGCTGCCGCTGCAGTGGGCTAGAGGGAGGTCTCATGTTCAGCTTCCTTTTTGAATAGGGCTCTACAAGCCTGTGCCAAAGCATGTCACCATCAGTGGAGAAGAACCCAGGTTTTTGAAGTCTTTGGAGGAAATAGTTATGTTCAGCACCCCTACTCTAAAGCTCCAGATGGTTTCTATGCACAAGAGCTGTGGTACCTCGTTTGTGAGGCTACGATGGATGCCCTGCAAACCCAGAGACCTGCTGCTGGCTGAGCAAGTGTAGAGGAGGGGTGTCTGTCTGCTCAGACAGCACTGAATCCCAGACTGGTTTGGGTTGGAAAGGACCTTAAAGCTCATCCGGTTCCAACCCCTGCCATGGACAGGGACCCCTTCCACTAGAGCAGCTTGCTCCAAGCCCCTGTGTCCAACCTGGCCTTGAACACTGCCAGGGATGGGGCAGCCACAGCTTCTCTGGGCACCCTGTGCCAGCGCCTCACGTCCCTCATCATAAAAGATTTCTTCCTTATGATGAATTTGGCTCTTGACAGGATGCTTTAGAAAGTGTTTCTTTTCCTCTTTAAACAAATGTTGTAAAATCTAAATGTTGCATGGTGTATAAGCCTATGCTTCATCAGTGCCTAATGGCATATTTGATTATTGAAACCTGAAAAATTTTAATACACCTAATTAGTTTCTCATTGTTAATGTATTGATTTTTCTGCTTAATAAAAAAGTAATCAAACCTTATAGGTCACTTCTTCATTTATAGCTCCTTTTGCTTTCCTCTCCTATTAATATCTGCACTCAATACTGTAGGCCTAGGAGGGGTGTGGTTTTCAATAGTTTACTTCCAATTCTTCTTAGGTTAAAATAATCTAAACTTCATGGTTGGATTTTCAAATAAGCCTAAAGAGTTGAGAGGCTTAACTGTTATTAGAGTTCAAGGCAATTTGATTGCATGACCTCTGTTAAAAGCCGTTGTTCATACATGGAGGGATTTTCAAAGATACTTACGGCCCAGCTAAAAAAATCAATTCCAGTCTCAGATCCCAAAATAGTTTTACTGGGTGTGCAGCAAGGGATTCAAACCCTCAGGAAGCAGAGGAAGTGAAATAGTCAAGCATTTAGGGGAAAGTATGATCATGTAGCCTAGTTCAGTGTGCTGGGGAGAGTTTTAGAGGCGCATATGATAGGCTTGTGTACACACCAAAGCTGTAGTTGATGGCAGTGATTTGGTGGCAGTTGTGGCAACTCATTTGTATGAAGGTGGTTGGTATTGCTACAGCTAGTTTAATATGGGAAGAACAATCTGTAGCACTATAAAGCTGCTTTATATTAGTCTAAATGTGACTGTGTAAGAGACAATAGCAATAAAGATTGATTTTTTGAATCATATGCTGAAGCAAAGTTTCATAGAGTCATAGAATGTTTTATAGTA